TCTGAGGGAGAAAATGTGGGCTTTCGGTCTCCAGGCTCCATTTCCAAAGCTCTTCTTACAACACAAGATACTGCAGCAGTGTAGTATTTTTCATAGGATGTGTATATCTAATCCTGGAGTTACTTTTTTGGTTGTTTTTTTGTTACATGACATTTTACAGGAAATGCTCAATACTTAAAACTAAGCGAGGCTGCTCTAGTTGAAGGTGGCACATTCCAAGAGCCCGCAGGGCTTCATGGAGTGGAGTTGGAAAAACCCCTGTGAGGATCATGATTGGTGCTGTATAGGGAATGGTTGAAAGAAGTTTGAGCAGTGGAGAAAGGGCTGAGGAAAGATCTATGCTGGGCCCTGCTCTGGAACACAACGTGAGTGTTTCTTGTGAGGCTGAGCCTTCTTTTCAGTGACTTCTTCAAGCTGGAAGTCAGGGGTTTAGGAGAAGACTAATAATAAACTGGGACACTCTCTACAGTAACGTTAGAAAATGAGTAGTTCTAGTGCCAAAACTGGGGGCATTGGATTTGAGGCAAATTGAGAATATCTTGCCTATTCTATCAATAGTATAAGAATCCCAAGCTGGAGATAGAGATTTGGGAAGCATCTATATATAGGTGGCAAACTTAAGCCCAGTAATTATCTTCAGGCTCATAAAGTCTACCGTCACTAAAATTCTTAAGCAATGGTAAAGAAACCTCTGCATTCCCTGGAGATGATCCATCTTCTCCAAGATTGTATTAGCAAGCAAAAAATAATTGCAAATATCTGCAGGACATCTTCGTAATAGTAATTTAAAGGTTTTTAAGCAATCTTATCCTGCCTTTTAGATTTTCAAGTTTCTAAGGTTGAAAGCCCAAGTTGGCGTTTCTTTCTGTCAGAAATCTCTGTTTTCGGAAACTTAGAGAGCCAGATACCCCTGAGAATTGTTTGGCCCAGTGAGTTCAAATTATTTCTCCCCGCAGCATAAATTATTATCGGATAAGACACTTGCACGATTCCAGTGGCTGCAACACATAAGCGTTGATTTAGGTCATTTCCTGGCAGCTGTTGAACAAAAGATTGGGATGAAGAGATTGTTCATTTATCCAAGAGACAGTGTCCCAGGGTCAAAGCCCAGCACAACCATTTAACCTTATATTTGAATTTGTAGCTTGAGAACAAGACTCAGGGACTCTTAGGGGAAAAATTCTTCTGTTTCAAACTCTGAAAGAACATGAAAGCCCAAAACAGATGGTTTTGTTTCGACACACGAATTTGTTTTGTTCTGTTTCATAGGTGGGATCTACATATATTACAAAAAAAAAAAAAAAACATTTAGAAATGCTTTCTGAAATAATAGTACTGAACCAACCTGTTAAGGCCTTCCTCTGAGCTAGTGCACGTTGAGTATCCCTCACCCAAAATGCTTGAGACCAGAATGTTTTTTGGATTTTGAATGTTTCCAGATTTTGGAACATTTATATATATATATATATATATATATATATAAAATGAGATATCTTGGGGACGGGGCCTAGGTCTAATACATGAAATTCATTTACTGTTCATATATACCTTATGTACATTGCCTGAAGGTAATGTATCACAATATATATATATTTTTTGAGACAGAGTCTCACTTTGTTGCCCAGGCTAGAGTGAGTGCTGTAGCATCAGCCTAGCTCACAGCAACCTCAACCTCCTGGGCTCAAGCAATCCTGCTGCCTCAGTCTCCCAAGTAGCTGGGACTACAGGCATGCACCACCATGCCCAGTTAATTTTTTTCTATATATATATTAGTTGGCCAATTAATTTCTTTCTATTTTTAGTAGAGACGGGGTCTTGCTCTTGCTCAGGCTGCTTTCGAACTCCTGACCTCTAGCAATCCGCCCACCTCGGCCTCCCAGAGTGCTAGGATTACAGGCGTGAGCCACCGCGCCCGGCCTGTATACAATATTTTTAATGCTTCTGTATACAAAACAAAGGTTTGACTGCAACCCATCACATGAGATTAGGTGTGGGATTTTCCATTTGTGACATCCTATCAGTGCATAAAAAGTTTTGAATTTGGGATTTTGAATTTTCAGATTAGGGATGCTGAACCTGTATGTAGATATGGACTTGTAAAATGTAGTTGAACTTTGATATTAAGTGATAAATACCAGGTACCCGGGTGCATTATCAAAAAGGGAGGGAGGAGCAAATGATATTTTCTATGATACACTAGCCCAAAATGTTTGTGATCCAAGGACTTTGAATGAGGAGACCCCAAAACCATATGAAGATATATGAGCCATTTTCATCAAGGACAGGACTTTATTTTAGTTTCACAAATTCACCCACTTAGATATGATTCATCCATTCTAAGTCAGTAGGAGTGAAACCTTCACTATGTGGGCTCTTGCCTTGTAGATCTGAAATTGGCATGTTAAACACTGTCTCATTCTTTGCCCTTTATATAATAGAATATTCCATTTCTGATCTTCATGGGCCCATGTTCAGATATTTACTTCAAGAGGAGTGTGTTTGTATCACTTCAAATTTGGCTTCTGTGATTTTAATTTTACTTTATAAACAAAAAGGAAATCACTTTAAAAATTGCTCCTAATTTTACTTTAAAAACAAAGAAAGATGGCTCACAAACACTGAATCGGCTGTTGATTTCACTTTGGCCAGCGCAAATAACTACCACGGAGCATTCTTGCCGAGCACCTTGACCTCCATAACCCTGTTTGTTGGAAGAGACAGAATGAGCCCTCCGGAGTGTTTAATTAATTAGAACTTTGCAAAGTCTTTTCAAAATTCTCTCAAATCCCTCCCTTCCCTGCCCTACCGACTTCTTGAGATGGCAAAGTTTTGCTTCCAGCTTTCCACGTTTTTAAAAGAAAGAAGTAAGTCTGAGTGTTGCAGGAAATCTATGGCATTGAAATCTCTCTGTCTGTCTGCATGTGGTTGGATCTTTCCCTCTCGAACTTCACCTTCACGTTGCTTCGTAAGTTACGTTCGCCCTTCCGTTTTTCTTTTTTTCCTCGCTCGCTTTCGAAAGTTTGGCTTAGTTGTTAATACCCCGCACAGGTTTCTGCGGGCTTTCCTTATTTGCTTTGTTTTCGTGGACTCCATAGGGGGTAAGTATTTCTGCAAGTTGGATGTGCAGCCAGGCACACGATTGCCCTTAGCCCTATCAGGGTCACACGTGGGATTCTCCGAGCAGAGAACCTTTTTAGCTCCCTTGCATTAGCAGCAGGGAGAGAGAGAATAAGGAAGACTTGCAGCTCCTTCAAGGATGTGGGTTATAACCCTTCATTCAAGTTAATGCTTGTTGATGTTACAACTATTTTTTTTTTAAGTTGACCCTTTTGGCCTCCCTCCATATGCACCGGGGCATCATCCCCATCAGCGGAGGATGTGGGAAATCGTGTTTTGTTCCTTGAAAAACATGAAATTGCTTGCAGATGGAAAAAAAGAAGAAAGGAGCATTTATTCAAGGGCCTAGAGACCTCTGCTGGTTAAGCGAGTTAACCAGCAGAGTTAAGTGACAACGTCGAGTGTCTTTCTAGTTGTCTTTATGATTGAGGAGGTGAGATATGCAGCGTGGCCCCAATACTAGCGGTTCCCTTTCGAATTAAATCACAGATGATCTGAAGCCTCCTTGAATGAAGATGCTGAGGTCCAGTCAGCTAGAAGACATGTTAACAATATTGAGTAGCATCTTCTAATTAAATACTGATATCAACTTTGATCATTACATTGGTAGACATCACCCTATAGAAATGCCCTATGAACATAAAATTCCAGAATAACAGCTATGGTTACCTTCTGAGTAACTTTGGGCTAAAGGTCTTCTACCTAAATATATTTATTAATACCATTATAAGTTAGTTGTATGAATTGTGCTGGAGGCAAGATTTGATATTTATGAAGACTTTTGTGGGACATGGAATTAACATTGTCGTTATATCCATTAAGAACAAGGAAACAAAACGTGACTTCCATCGAAGCACGAAAAATGTGTTATTTGGGTGGTGGGGGTGGGGAACGGCAGTGGGCAATGTAGCAATTAAAGTGCTGCTTTGAATTCCTGTGTTAGTCTGTGGGCAGGACTTGATTTCCTAAGAAGGTTTGATAAAACTTAGGACTCACTCAGACATTTGGGGTTCTAGGGCCATTACTCCTGTGGATAACATTCTATCGATATGGAATCAGTCATTAATAAATAACATTGATAGTCTCAGAGGAGGAAGGAGTCACAAAAGTTAGCTACACAGCATGTTGGAGTGAAGTGTACTAGTTAGGGACAGGCTAAGCTATTCTAATAAAGGAGACCCCAAAATCCAGTGGCTTCAATAAGAAGTTTATTTCTCTCTCACGCAATCTCTCCAAAAATAGGCAAGTAGGTCTGTGGCTGCGTCACTCCACAAAATCGTTCAAGGTCCGAGGCTGGCAGATGAGCCATCCTACCTACATAGCTTCCATCTCTGAGCCCAAGGCTGTTTCAGTTATCACTGTTTTCCAATCAGTGTGAAGGGGCGAGAGGCTGGAGCAAGTATTTTTGATTAACCTGGAAGTTGCTCTCGCCACTTTCACACACATGCAATTGGTATGAACTTAGTCACATAGTTACTGCCAGCTGCAAAGGAATCTGGGAAATGTAGTGGTAGCTGGGAATCCATGAGTCCAGCCAAAAGAGGTGGGGTGATGGTGGGAGATTTTCTCTACTAAAAGGATAAAAAGGAATAATAGATACTTGAGGGGGGAGTGGTACAGTTAATTTTGCCCTATGAATAATGGTAGCTTTATCCATTCTGCATTTAGTGATGAAAAGACTATCCATATAAGCCACAAAATCTGAATTCTCAGAGTAGGGTTACAGGCACTCCCTTCAACTTTTACCCAGCCTTGTTATTTGCATAACATCTGGAAAAGGAATTTTATTATAAATGTACTTTTGCCCTGTGATTGCATATGATAAAAATAGACTGAGCATACGCTGAATGTATGCTTTTTCTTTGCTTTTTGAATCCCTGTAGCTCAACCTAATTGGATTCAAAAAATAAATGATATCCACGTGGCCATGGAGGAAAATGTCTTTTGGGAATGTAAAGCAAATGGAAGGCCCAAGCCTACGTACAGGTGGCTAAAAAATGGTGAACCACTGCTAACTCGGGTAAGCAAATTGATGATACTTGTGTCTCAGTATTGACTGCAATGTTTAATGTGGCATCATTACCATAGAAACAGAAAAATGATGAGCTGTTTCCAAAAATAACATGCAACTAAATGCCACTAAATGTGGAAAAAGTGAAAGCGAATGCAGTTGATAAACAGAAAGTGTACATAAATCCAGTTCTCCAGGCTTGTTCGGGTAAGTTTCTGTACTCGATGTTTGGTCTTCACTTATTAACTCACTTATTACCATCTGGGGCTTTACAATGGGAAAGGTACCCAGAAGGTCTGGACCAGGGGATCCTCAAACTACGGCCCATGGGCCACATGCGGCCCGCCGAGGACATTTATCCAGCCTGCCGAGTGTTTTTGCCGCCGCTGCCTGTCCTGCTTAGCAGCTGACTCATCCGGGGCCCACAGTGCGCATGTGTGGAATGTGCACCCCACTCTCCAGCGGCCCTCCAACGGTCTGAGGGACAGTGAGCTGGCCCCCTGTTTAAAAAGTTTGAGGACCCCTGGCTCTGGACCATGTAATTCTTCTAAGATGCAAAGGAAGGTACATCTCAGGATCCACTACAAGAGAAGGAGGAGTATTGACACAATACAGGAATGCCAGTCTATATGCCAGTCTAAGACTCAGACGAAGAAATCTGAATGACACACGGGCAGAGTTGGAGGCCCTTAGAGCGAGGAACAATTGGGTCCGATTTAGTTTTCCTTGTTGTATTTTCCTATTGAACTTCAAATATTAATTGAAATTAGACATTTTCCCCCTGGCCCCAAGTTGACAGCCAATCTTTTTCACGTTCAGATTTCCTCCTCAAAATAGGCCACCCAGGGAAGAATGCCTGCTCTGAGCAATGGCCCAGACATGAGTGTTCACAACACGAAGACAAAGGGACCCCTTTCTCCCAACACGCCTCATGTCTCATATAGCTTCTCCATTCACTGGAAGGGCTCCCGTGAGTCCGTGACTCAGCTATAAAAGCCAAACTCAGACAAATTGCCAGAGTGTAGGTACGCAGGTAACCGGCATTTTCTTCCCTTTGTGTAACATGAGGAAATCGGGATGCCTAGATTTGATCGAAGCCTGATAAAGCGTCCACTCAGCTCAACCGCAAGCCTGCAGTAAACAGAAAGCCAGTACTTTTTTGCATACATTCTTTTTTAAAAATGGTAAATTTCCTACAGAGGAGATCCTTTATGATACTTACGAAAATTGATACACAATTTGTATATCCTCAGGGTGACAAATTAGAAATTTCTCTTGTGCCATACACTAACTTTGCTGGCTTCATATTGGCTACCAGCAAATGGTTCTAGGCTTAAGTGACACAACTGATGACAACAAAGTAAGGGAACGTTTCATTATTAATACATTTTTGCGTTTTTTTAGTAAACCTCAACGTATATTAAATATTTGCCTCTGCTACATCTGAGAAGATAACAATCCTATCAACCTTCAAAGGGTCACCTGCTCATAATTTGAGTGTTTTAAATACTCCAAACAGTAAATTTGGTTGTATTTCCAAACCCCTTTCACTCAGTTAGTACACAGCCTTAGAGTAAGAAAGCATTTTAAATTTCAAATTCTTCTATTTAGAGGGGATATTAATCTGAATGGCTTCCCTATTAAATCAATGAGAACTCAAGAGAATCCTACAATTTAAATTCCATTTACCAACTGATGTACTGGTTGTTCCATTTAGCATCTGACCTGCCCCAAATTTAGTTGACAGATAAATAGATCATGTTATGTAAATTGCTTATATGATGGCTATTTTCTTCCCATTAAGCTCCTGTGATATAAGACATAGCAAAATTGCCTTCAGGTCTCGGTTGTAGAAGGTCATTGTTTTTGTGTCCCTCTTTTCTTTCACAGGATAGAATTCAAATCGAACAAGGAACGCTCAACATAACAATAGTGAACCTCTCCGATGCTGGCATGTACCAGTGTGTGGCAGAGAATAAGCACGGAGTTATCTTTTCCAGTGCAGAGCTTAGTGTTATAGGTGAGTCTTATATATACTGGGAAGAAAAAAATAAATAAATAAAAGCTCTTTAAATCACTAACCTCACATGTGCTTTACCAAGCATAAATGTCCAATCCAAGAAAAAGAGTAAAGAAATCTTTGGACCAAAGATATTGCTGGCGAAAAACAAGTAAGGCAGTCTACAAGCAGTAAGAAGAGACCACTTTCTAAATCAGCTTCTTCCAACGTTTACAAAGGGTAGCACAGTTCCCCCGGCACTCATTTTTATTCTTCTGTTGACCGCACTTCTAAATTGAGCAAAGTTTCTGAAATGCTTGGGAATCTGCTGCTATGGTTCTGATTTGGTGCAAACTTCAGCCTGGAGGGAGTAAGGGCGAAGCTGGTGTGGGAAGGCCGATGTGAGCAGCTGGCAGGGTGAACCATGTTTTTTCTGTACTTTCCAGACTGTGCGTTAATGGTCTTTCACCACGCACCACTTCCTCCCTCCTCTTCAGCAATGCTGGCCTTTTGGTTCTGCATATTCACCATCCTCCTCCTCCATAAGCTACCGGCCCTTAGCGTTGCTTCTGCCTGGAATGTCTTTCCTCCCCCTCTTTATTTCTGTAACTCTAATCATTCTCCATTTCCCAGCTCCGCGCTGGCTTCCCCAGAAAGTCATGCCCGGCCCTGTGCCTAGGTCAACTCATCAGCTCCTCCTATTACAGATTTTCATAGTGTCTTTTACCTCCTTTATAACAGATTCCACAGTTACTTCTTTACGTTTATTTATGTGACCATTCCGTCTTTTTCTCCCACTGCACTTTAACTTCTCCATGATGTCAAGGGTCATATTTGGTTCAATTCATCATTTTATTCCCAAGACTCATTACAATATTGAAGCACATGGTAGGTACTCAATAAATATCGAATGAACATGGGAATGAATGCCTTAAATGAACGAAGAAGTTGAGAGATTGTTTTACGAAATAGGTTAATGAGTTAAGTAAATAAATAATTGAAAGCATAAGTTGAGTGAAAGGACAAATCTATGGGCATAAAAAAAAAAAAAAAAGATCAAGCCATTAACTTGCATCATCCCATAGAAAAATCTTGAATTTATCTATTATAAAAGAAGAAAAGGTAATAATAAAAGCAAAAAAACACCAAAACAGATGTAAATGATTTTGGCACGGCCTCCTGTTTTAGAGGATCTAAGCAGTAGTTCTTCTTGGTGAAAGCATAATAGGAGGATTATGAATAAGAGAAAAATAGCACACAAAGAGAGCTGATTCACATGCCCTGGTAATTTGCCCAATTTCAGAGTTCCGACTGTCTCTTCTGCAAAGCACTCGTCAGTGCCTGGCATGTAGATCTTGCATGTATATAAGTAGATGCTCTCAAGTTGCATGTATTTCCACCCTGTGCAAGGTGAAAAAAAAAAAAAAAGAAGGAAATGCTTCCACAACTGCTTTCTCACCAAGTTCTTTAGCCTGGACCAAGATCCCTTCAAAGACAAGGATTTTATGGGGCTATAGCCTTTCTCAAGAAGGCCTAGGAATGGTTCCGTGCTCTTGGAATAATCATCCGCTTGGCTTGGCCTGTTATAAGCATAACATTTTTGAAAGTCTACATCTACTTACCTTCCACACTATAAATGCTGGGAACAATAATTCCAACCTCCTCCAGAACAGGTATGGTGGTTTGACTGTGCCCAGATTTGTTCTGATCATTGATACTTGGAACTGACTCTTTTAGAGTGCAGTGTACTATGGCAGATTGCTTAGCAGTTTATTCTGAAAGAAACTATTGAAATCTATGTAAACTAGTTGGAAGGACAGCTAAAGGTGAGGGGGTGTGGGCCTAATGAAATGAGTCATATTGTCCTAAAACACCTCGAGGTGAGTGCTTGCCAGTTTATAAGCCTGGGAACCCCTTTATCATTCAAAAGATTTTGTAGATCCCTTTGTTAAAATAAGAAAATTTGATAGTAAATGACTACAATGAAGTGAGAGAGGCTATTAAGTGATTTTTATCTAGAGCCCCTACCTTTAGTTAAAAATAACAGAATGTGTGTGTGTACGAGTGTGTTTGTGTGTGTGTGTGTGTGTGTGTGCGCTGCAAAGCCCTCCATCCCCTTCCCATGTGTATTGTGCAACATGGTGACTATAGTTAACAATATATTGTATTCTTGAAAAATGCTAAGAGAATGGATATTAAGTGTTCTCACCACAAAAAAATGATAACTATGTAAGGTAGTGCATATGTTAATTAGCTAGATTGAGTCATTCTACAATGTGTGTATACTTCAGAAAATCATGTTGTAAACATTACATACAATTTTATCTGTCCATTTAAAAAATGAAATAACGAAATTAACTAAATAAATATTTTGATTCAAATACATAAAGCATGTATAGTCGAAGTTTCAACTTGAAAAGGGAAAACGGAAAATTCTTTAAGGACCAATTTTAGATGTTATTGAATGACAGGCGCAGAAGTTCTCTCTTTAATATCCCATTTTCCCTTCCTCCAAATCACATTAATATATTCCAAGTGAATTGAATGAAGAGTGCTTGAGTATCGAGTGGGTAAGTCCCTAGACTCCCTCTTGAGTGAATGAGGAAAAAGAGACCTCTGGCTATTTAAATATGCATAAATTAATATTAGTTAACTTGGGTAAACTCTAATATGACTGTATTCCACAAAAGTCACTTTGTTCCTTAAAGCAGTTGTCTCCGACCTTTTTGGCATCGGGGAACATTTTCATGGAAGACAATTTTTTCCATGGACCGGGAAGTGGCGGGGTATGATTTCAGGATGATTCAAGCGCATTACATTTATTGTGCACTTTATTTCTGTTATTACTACGTTGTAATATATAGTGAAGTAATTATACAACTCACCGTAGGTTGGGGACCCCTGCCTTAAAAAACAGTAATAATTTGGCTCTTTGAAGTCATATAACTAAATTGTTATTACCTGTGTTAGAATCCTAAGGAGATTGAATTGAATAAAGAAAGAAAATGGAAACAAGATACTTCTGGATAAGCAAGGAAAACAATACCTTGGTTCCAGCTATTGTTCAAATATCAGGGATCCCCAATGCTATAGTGGAGAGTCCCTTTAATGCTAGGTAGTAGCCCTAAAGTCATGAATAAGAGATGGTTAGGAAGCATGTATTTAATAGGCTTTTCCCTTGGCTTTGTTTTATATGTTCTGTCTGGGTAGTTAATGTGTATGGAACATATCTATATTTAATGGATTGAAACTGCTAAATAATTAACCTGGGTCTGGGTGATTTACTCACTGGATGGGCAAATGCCATAGAGAGACTTTTACCTTGAGGTCAGTATATTAGTAGACCTGGTTAAGAGTATATCAAATGGAAATGTCCTTGTTTGCAACTGACCTATTGCAATTGATAGTTTATTATTTCTCAAGGCTACTATTTCCAGACTTTTCCTCCTGTCTCAGCCTGTGTTGTGGGTGAGGTTCACTTGTGTGATGCACTCCCGAGGTCATCCCTGGGGTGCAGCATAGTTCCCTGGGTGGTAACCATCGTTCCATCCCTCTGAAACTGGAGTGAATAGAGTCTTATAATCTATTCAAGGAAACTCGAATCTTCTATTAATAAGTTAAAAAGTAATGATAACTATGTAAGTTAGGTGTTTTACTGGATTTCAAAATAGTGTTTTTAATATGATATTTCTACTCATGTTTATTATTTGTGTCCCCTCAGTCAGATTATCAGATTGGTGATGGGGACTGCTGATTAAATTGCCAAACTTGAAATTTTCTGTGATGCTTCATATAGAATGCTTCTGCCATGTACATAATCATGGGGCACATAGAAAGGCTAAGGTCCCCCAAAACCAAGTCTGAGGCAATTCATTGATGGAGCGTTCTCCAGGAAAAACCTATAAGTAAAAGCACAGTGGGGAAGGGGGAGGAACTGAGCAAGGATGAGGTCTTAGGTAAAGTCTAGTCTAGGTCTAATGCAGAAGGAGGATTTCTGGAACATAAATTGCACTTCAAAGCCATTCCCACCTTGATGCAAGCCTTTTTAAAAAATCTCATATGAATCGGTCCTTAAATTGGAGGCAGAAGTGGTAGCCATCAAAAATCTTTGATTTTGCAATGGGATGAGCTATCCCTAAGAGAAAGGGGCTATCCGCCTACTGGTTTTTGAATATGACTCGACTTCTTACCAAGACTGTATAATGGAATAGAAGTCGATTCTTCCCCTGGGAAATCATGTATAATGGTTCAGTATCACGGGGATTCTCCTGTCCTGCATGGTGTAGGACATCTGACACTGGAAGGACACCCAAATTTCATCAAGTAACTGATGGTCCAATTAAAGTGAGGTGCAGGCTTGAGCAATTTTCTGGCTAATTTGGCATTTATCCAGATGATTGGCTCCTAAATTAGAAAAACATTAAGGCTAAACTAAAAGTTATTTCATAGGGACTTTCACAAGTGCTCATCTGCATCCAAGTCTGATTTCTCAACTGCCTCGTTGAGCCAGATTACAAAATAATCAAATGTGCTGAGTGTGATCAGCATCTAATGAGAGAACAAACGCCTTTCTTATCCAATGCTGTCATCTAGGAAGGAGGTTTACTTAAATTGTCATGAAGAGCGAAGCTATGCACTTGGACCTCAAACTCAAATTTGATATCTTCAGCAAGTTACTGAGTATACATTTACCAGGAGGAGGATGTTGCTATTACTCACCTTACTGAGAAAACTAACAGAAATCACACGCGAAAGTCTTTTGGAAACCTAAAAGTGTTTGCAACAATATAAGAAGCTTTTTGTTGTTGTTAACAAATATCCATACCCCAAACTTGTAATATAGATAGCCACAAAATCACCAGTAAATCCCACTTCTGTGGCTCTCAATTTTTGCTGCAGATTACAATCATCTGGGGAACTATTTAATATCCTGATGCTATACTTCATAGCAACTAATTCAATCCCTGGGCCTGGAATCTAGACATTTTTTCTTAAAGCTCACCAGGTGTGACTCCAATGAA